CATGGACTAGGCAATAAAATAAAATAAAATAAAATAAAATAAAACAAAAATAAGATATATAAAATAAATAAAATGTAAAATAAATAAATAAATAAAATAGAATAAAATAAAATAAAATAAAACAAAAAATAAATTAAATTAAATATAAAATAAATAAATAAATCCAAAAAATAAATAAATACTATTTGAATTGAAGTATTTTCAATAAAATAAATGCAAAATTATTTGTAAAATAAATAATAATAGAAATCAGGTAATTGCAAACTTAACGTCCAATATTACTGCTGTATTACAAGCAATTCACACACACACGGACGCACGCACGCACGCACAGACGCACGCACGCACACAAAAAATCCATATTTTTATAGCTGCAAAGTCAAGTAACCCATGATGGCACTCATAAATGTCCAGTAAAGTTTTTAAAAAGCAGTTAAATATCTCAGCTGTCCTCTCCGATTGAGCAAAGCAAAGTCAAATGTAATGGAGGACACAAGGCCCCATTTACACTCATGTCAAGCTTGCATTCCCCATGTTATCTCTAGTTTGTGTAACTGGAACGCCAGAACATTCCATAGTACCAGAGGGATTATTGCTCCTTGCTTGAGTCAATGGCTGATAAGCAAGAACAACAAGCCACTGTCACGCTGCTGTGTGGACTCTCACAGATATGCAACAACGCAGCGTGTTGAATCAGTCCAGTTCATATCTTCATATTCCATAGCCTGAACTTATTGAACAATCAACCTCTGCCCATCGAATTCATACATTTGATTTCATCTATTTACATTTCTTATGTATCTGTACTGTATATATGGAAAGATAAAAGAGTAAAAGAGGCTTAAAGTGTGTTCACACTTGGCAGCTTTGGTTTGAATGAACAAGATACAGTAGGTCTATTTTTGAATGGGTTCTGGTGGTTTGGCTCAAATATGAAACAACATGTACTAAACATATTAAAACAACCAAAAACTGAAATTGAAAATGTAAAATAGAAAGAAACTGAAGAGTATATGGTTATTTGCATCATGCAGTTGCATTGTCATCTGTTACAAGTCAATAGGAATGCATTTCATATGTTCCTTAATAAACTCCTGTACAGTTTGTTTTTAATTTTAATTTATTTTATTGTATTTTATCATTTATTTTTTAATAATTTTATTTATTTATTTTAATTTAATTTAAATTAATATAAATTTTCTTTTAATTTTAATTTTCTTTTTTCTTTATTTTTCATTTAATTATTATTATTATCATTATTATTATCATATTTTACTTATTTTGTTAATTTATTTAATTTCATTTTTAATTAATATTTTTATTTTATTTATTTATTTTTTTTTCTTTAATTTACTGTATATGGCCAATCCAAACAATACATAGTGTCAAACAACTATAAAATGTCAGTAAAAGTGACAGATAAACTTTTCAACATCAGAAACAAGGTACCAGAAAGCAAATGTACACAAAACCCTCCTAAGCTAATGTTTTTAGTTTAGTTTAGTTCATTTGTTTAGAGGATCAATGCACATTAATAAATATTACAGTAAAATGTGCCAGAATAAGCCAAGAATGGCTATTTTTCATCTGTTCACCCCTTACAAAATGTAAAAAGTCACACCTAAAATAGAAGCACAGCATAATAACTCAAAGATAGAATCCTCTATCATAGATAAAATACAATAAAAAAGTAAAAAACAAAAACAGACTGATGGCAGCAGAAGAGGACAAAAAAGCCAAAGACAAACAGTAAAATAAGTGTCAAGAATACAGTACTAATGCTGACAATGCTGCTTTGTCAATAACCAATTTTTAACAATTTATGAAAAAAACGAAAAGTGCATGATCTTCTAACTGTTGGTGGGATGGAGCCCATTCCCTAGCAGCTTTCACTGAAAATACCGACTGACTTTACTTTTCTTGAGAGGAATAATACAGTCCCCTCTTTCACCACCTCTAGTAGCTCGGTAAGCAGTCGTTATAATATTCACAAACTGATTTGGTGGTGATGTCGGGTTATGTAGGGTCTTAAACATTAAACGAATATGTACATATTTAATAAAATTTTCCCAACTAAACAGGTTGTATTTCTTTAATCTTGAACAATGATGATACTAAACTTATTTCTTATCAAGGGTTTTTATAGATTGTATAATAATTCAAGTGGCTTCAAAGTATAGTAATGCTAGCTTGGGACCAAGTGGTTAAATAATAAGTGATGTTACATCTATAGTACTCTCAAAAGTATACTTTTTTACATTAAAAGGGAGTCAGTTTGGTTCCAAGAGGTATTTATATTACTTACAAGTATACTACTAGTTCATATATCTTAATAAATGAAGTGTCCCTAAAAAATACTTCTGCATTACTTAAGTACACTTACTAAAATTAACTTCAGGTATACTTCTTGTTGCAAGAAAACACTAAATGGTTACAGCATGTAAACTCTAGTTAAATATTATGCAAACCACGCAGTGGCATCATTCTAATGCAATCAACAACACAAAGAGCCTCAGACAACACACTTGACCCCTGATTAGACTGAAGTCATCAGCCATGCAGTGATTTTAAACCTTCAACATTTTAATTTTAAATGTATCCATGCAAACTTCCAAAGTCAATACCGAAGCCAAAAGTTCTGTCATTTTTATATGTGAAAATTATTTGACAGATTTGAAACACTGTTTAGCACTCTCTTGTTATAAGCTTATTATCTGCACACTATGAACTACCTCTGATATCAGGAGGAGCACTCAACACTCTCAGTCTTTCTCAGCCCTCCTCCTTTTTTTTATTGACTTCCTATTTGCCGACTGATGAGATGGAGAAAGGAAGGGAGGGGAATCTCTTGTAGAGGAATTCAACACATTCCTGGAGGCCTCCCAAAGGCCAGATCATCACACACACACACACATGCATACTCACACACAGGGTATCAGGGAGAACTGAGAGTGACCATTTCACCAGTTTGTTTCACTCGCTCTCATAGCAACCACCAAAGAAAAGGAACACAGCGTAACTTCCCAGTGAGCCACTTAAAAGCACGACAACTCTCAGTTTGTTTATTTGAACATCTGAAAAGAGTGTATACAGTAGTGAGAGGGGATACATATTCCTTTATGAGAGTCTGCTACAAACAATCCAGAGTTCAAAGTCAAAGTGCTGTAATTATGTTATGATCATGTGTTTGGAGTTTAACCATAACTGTGAAGAGGGTTAAAGATATTATTCCGCTTTCAAGTGATACAGTCACGATGGAAAGTCTGATTTGTCTTATGTATAATAGTTATGTGTGTGAGAATTTTTTTTGTTTGTTTGTTTTTGCATTGCATAAAAATAACAGAAAGATTCTGTACTTTCAGACGTGCTTACAATAATTTTCAGACAACACAAAAGCAGTGTTATAAATTCAGAAGAGTTATTAAATCTATATTTGGTGGAATTACCCTGATTTTGAAGTCACAAAACAAATAAAAACGTTTGTTATTCTGAAACATTGTAAAAAAAATTGTAAATGCTCTTGGTAGAAATTTTGAGAAAATGCTGTCAGATCTTTGTAGAACAAATCAATAACTGAAATTTAACTGAAAGTAGTTAAGCAATTAAAGGGAAAGAGAACAGTTATATTTTAATGATTTTGACAATTTAATTAGAACTTTCTTTTTGTTAATAAAACATTCTATTCTATCAAATTATATCATATCATATTCAACTCAGTGGCATAATACCATAACTTAATAATACATTAATATATTAATATGAAACAATTAAATAATAGTATGGTCAATTATTATTATTATTATTATTATTATTAGTAGTAGTAGTAGTAGTAGTAGTAGTATCATATTTTATTATTTTTTTCATACAATATTTACATTAAACATTATTATATTAATAAGAAACATTTTATAATAAGATCAATTATTATTTTTACTATTTTATTATTATTATCATTACCATCATTATTACTATTATTATTAATATTATTATTATATCATACTCAATTGAGTGGCATAATAACAACTTAATTATACATTATTATATTCATAAGAAACAATTATTAATATGATCAATTGTTATTATTATTATTATTATTATTATTATTATTATTATTATTATTATTATTATTATTATTATTATTATTATTATTATCATATCCTATTCCATTGAGCTGCATTATAACATATCAAAATTAAACATTATTGTATTGATAAGAAACAATTATTAATATGATCAACTATAACTATTATTATTATTATTATTATTATTATTATTATTATTATTATATCATGTTCAATTGAGTGTCATAATACATTTTTTAAATTATACATTATTATATTAATAAGAAACAAATATTAATATCATCAATTATTATTATTACATATTCGATTTAGTGGCATAATAACATAACTTAATTATATTAATATGAATCAATTAATTATTACTATGATAAATTATTTTAATTAATAACAACACAACAACAATAATAATAATTTAAATTTTATATATTATTATTATATAGTTATATACACACATTTTCTACTATATCATGATGGTTTGTTAAAGCAAATAATGATAATAATAATAATAATAATAATAATAATAATAATAATAATAATAATAATAATAATTATTATTATTATTATTAAAAATATATTTTAATTAACCACCATTTTAGTTGGTCGAACTATATATAGGCCAATAGCAGACAACCCCTTGCTTTCCAAGAAGTACCCTACTAACAATCGTACTAGCACGCCTGTGTCTGTCTGTGTGTATATTTTTTTTCATTCACGCCGGTCTCCATGAGAACCAAACACAGCTCTGGTTGAGTTTGTATGACTCAGTGGCCGGTGGTTTTCCTGCGCTCAGTGCGCGCGCTCTGGATATGTTCGGAACAGCTCTGTCACAGAGGCGCGCCCTGACGTAGCCACGCAGAAAAAAGGGCGTAGCACTTCCATAATGAGCCTCTTTAAAGCTGCTGCTCCATACACCACATTAATCTAGTCGCAGGGATCTGGACTTTGGAAATACGCAGTATTGTGACACGAGTCGCGCGCCTGCATTTCAGCGATTTCAACCAGTTTTTGTGGACTTACTTTCGCTTTGCTCGCAGTAAGTTGGATTTATATTGCAGTGCAAACGTACGTTGTGTGTTTATGAGTGTAAAAAAAGTTCGGAGTGAACCTGAGAGGAGGGTAAATCTTGCATACAGGTTAAGATAAGCCACTTTGATGACTTGGATCTGTTTTGCGCGTAAATTGATGGAGGACAGTTTACATTTTTAACGTACAGTTGTTCATAATAATTCATAAATATATCTTAGAAAGTTAATAAACTATACAATAAGTTTATTTTAAAAGACAGCATGCGCAGCAATCACTTTTCGACTGTTTAAAACGATGCTGTATTATAGCCTATTATATAGTTACATTATATTATAAAATAAAACTTCAATTAGCTACACAAAAATAAACAATACGTATTGATGTTTTAATTTAAAATAATCTAATTTCAAGAGCATCAACACAGTAAAGGCATATATTATAACTTTTAACTCGTCATTAATGTACTTTACCGATTTTTATACAGAACCATAAGGAAACATCATGCTGCTCCTCTTATTGGGAATCGTTGTTTTGCATGTGGCAGCACTGGTTCTGCTCCTCGTTTCCACTATAGTCAGTGTAAGTATAACTTTTTTTCTAATCCTCCATTTAAAGATCATCTATCTATCTTGTTAAAATGTTAATGTATGTGATAGACAACTTTTTAAATAAGATGCTATAGCTGAAGCAGAATATTGTGGATAGTTGCTAATAAATGTTGCATCCTTCAACAGGCATGGGTAGTGAACTCCACTAGCAGTTCAGACCTCTGGCTGAACTGCACCACAGCCACTGACCCATGTGGCACTGCCGACACTGGAGGTAGGACCCTAAAGTTATAAAGAACATATCTGCCTCGCCACAAAGAGTTAAATAAGTCAACCTTGGGCTTAATCCTGGCATAACTGTCAAAGCCCCTGTTTACCACACTTTCTGGTGGGTGTGCCCACTGTGTTTTGCCCTTTACACTGCCATCTAGGGGTGAGAATGCACGCGTGCAGTCTCAACCCACAACAGAGCCCTCTTCAACATCAGCTCATGCAGATTGTATAAATAGTCTGGTTGCCGGCTCTGAGCTCGGGCCCCTTGTTTGGGAGTGGAGTGCTGGGTTGCAAAGAGGCTTGAGAAACATATGGGGTGGGGCAGAGGTAGAGCATTCGAGCAGCGAAGATTTGGGCTGATCTGTGTGATGGCGCAGCATCAGATCGCTGCAGAGAGAACATGGCGTGATTAGAGTCACACCCACAGATCAAAATGCCAGCGATGGGATTGTTAACAATACAAGAATGAGATAGAATGAGAGAGTTTTACGAAAGGTTGTGCCTTTGGCTTCAATGGTTTCATGAAGAACTTTTAACATCAATCGAAACTTTTCATTCTATTAAAAAAAAAATAAGTAGAAAGGGGTATTTTAGATAAATATATATATATATATATATATATATATATATATATATATATATATATATATATATATATATATATATATATATAATGTGGATTTCTATGGTGTAATTTCCTGGTGCCTTTTGTTTTTAAAGGGATAGTTCACGCAAACATTAAAAATACCCATTTATTTATTCTTTCTTTTATGGTTTTAAATCTTTCTAAGTTTATTTTCTTGTTTGAGCACACAAAAGAAAATATTTTGAAGAAAGCTGGTTGCTGGAAAACTTATGTATTAGGAAAAAAGCCATGCTTGAGCATTTTTTAAAATACCTTTTTTTGTGTCCAACAAAAAAATTGAATCTCAGATGGGTTTTGAAGTAATAGGTGAATAAACGATAGTGGGATTTTAATTTTAGCGTGAACTATCCCCTCAAGAGTGTGTCTCGCATGTAAATATAACATGTATTTGCACACTGTATATTCCCAGTGGGATCGCTGTTCCATTATTGGCTGTTCTTAAAGGGTGAAATGATTATGTCATAGTTTTAGAGCGGGAAACGCCTCTCAGTGCTTTTTGGTAATGAGGCGGGTCCAGAATGCTTTTGCTGTGTTATTTCATAGCTCACAGTCAGTTGGCGTAGCACCTATAATGTGCTGTGTTTGTTTAGGGCGTGGTGTGAGGGAGGGCACATAGGGCTTTTCTGTCCTGCTCTCCTACGCTCTCTCACGTGTCGCTGCTTTGCTGCTGGAAAAAAAATGCTGTTTTTCTTTAAAAGTTTCCAGTTGCTTCTTAATGGGGTTTGTTTTTTATGGTCTTTTAAGCTGTACAGAGTTTTTCAGTGGTGCATGTAATGAATAGATTTGGCTACAGCTGGCATTTGCGTGCACAAAATAATGCTTTGTGTTCTCTGCTGCAAAGATGCATTTAAGGGATAGTTCATTCAATAATGATTATTCAGCTTATTCACCCTCTGCTTGTTACATTCATTCATTCTTTTTGACTTAGTCGCTTTATTAATCAGGGGTCACCACAGCGGAATGAACCGCAAACTTATCCAGCATATGTTTTACGCAGCGGCAACCCAACACTAGGAAACACCCATACACACTTATTCACACACATACCCTACGGCCAATTTAGCTTATTCAATTCACCTATAGCGCATGTCTTTGGACTGTGGGGGAAATTGGAGCACCTGGAGGAAACCCACGTGAACATGCAAACTCCACACAGAAATACCAACTGACCCAGCCAGGGTTCAAATCAGTGGCCTTCTTGCTGTGAGGTGATTGTGCTACCCACTGCGCCGCCGTGACGCCCCTGCTTGTTACACAATTTTCCTTCCTGTTGAATAAAGAGAAGATAGTTCGAAGAGTGTTGCAAACTGATATTGACATCAAAGTAGGACAAAAATGGTTTGAAAGTCAACAAGTAACCCTCATTAAACTTAATGTAAATGGGAACATTAAGTAACAGATCCGTAACTATTATTAGGTATATAAATCTAGTTAATTGAGAAATGAAAAAAAATTCAACATTCAAATATTAATATACACTTGATGGCCACTTTATTAGGTACACCATACTAGTACCTGGTTGGACCCACGTTTGCCTTCAGAACTGTTTTAATCCTTCATGGCATAGATTCACCAAGGTATTGGAATATTCCTCAGAGATTTTGCTCCATGTTGCCTTGATAGCATCACGCAATTGCTGCAGATTTGTTGGCTGCACATCCATGATGCGAATCTTCAGTTCCACCACATCCCAAAGATGCTGTATTGGATTAAGTTCTGGTGACTGTGGAGGCCAATTAAGTACAGGGAACTCATTGTAATACTAAAAAAAACAGTCTGAGATGATTTGCTTTTTAAGAAATGGTGTGTTATCCTGCTGAAAGTAGCCATCAGAAGATGATACACTTTGGTCATAAAGTGACGGACATGGTCAGCAACAATACTCAGGCAGATTGTGGTGTTGACACGATACTCAATTGGTACCAATGGGCCCAAAGTGTGCCAAGAAAATACCCCCTACACCATTACACCACCACAATTAGCCTGATTGGTTGATACAAGGCAAGGATCCATGCTTTCATGTTGTTGATGCCAAATTCTGACCCTACCATCCGTATGTCGGAGCAGTAATCAAGACTCATCAGACCAGGCAACATTTTTCCAATCTTCTATTGTCCAATATTGGTGAGCCTGTGTGAATTGTAGTCTCAGTTTTCTGTTCTTAGCTGACAGAAGTGGCACTCGCTGTCTTCTGCTGCTGTAGCCCATCTGCCTCAAGGTTCAAAATGTTGTGCATTTAGAGATGCTCTTCTCCTTACCTCAATTGTAAAGAGTGGGTATTTCAGTTAATATTGCCTTTCTATCAGCTCAAACTAATCTGTCATTCTCCTCTGACCTCAGACATTAACAAAGCATTTGCGCCCACAGAACTGCCGCTCACTGGATATTTTCTCTTTTTCAGACCATTCTCTGTAAACCCTAGAGATAGTTGTGCGTAAAAATCCCAGTAGATCAGCAGTTTCTGATATATTCAGATCAGCCAGTCTGGTACCAACCATGTCATGTTCAAAGTCACTTAAATTATCTTTTTTTTTTGCTTGGTTTAAACTGCAGCAGATTATCTTGAACATGTCTACATGCCTAAATGCATTGAGTTGCAGCCATGTGATTGGCTGATTGGAAATTTACATTAACTAGCAGTTGGACAGGTGTACCTAATAAAGTGGTCGGTGAGTGTATGTATACTGAATTAGAAAAACCCATAACTTAATGAACAACAGTGAATTTATCAATGCATTAAACATTCCTAGTCTAATGCATTTCTTAAATTGACTTGTCTTTAAATGAAAAGCCATCAGAAAAGAGTTTCTAGTAACGCAGACAAATGTAATGGCCATTTTTTATTTACTATATACAATGAACTTTATATGTTTTTTTATGTACACATCAGTCCTAAAAGTGTGATGCAAAATCACTCCTGCATGGCCAGGCAAAAATCAGAATTGTCATTTCCATCTTGGATTTGTAACCAAGTTTGAAACCATCCTAAGATCACCTGAATGCTGTAATTTACACTGGGAGTGATGCGGAACAGCTGGCGTGGCGAAGCTACTCAACACTGGCAGCTAAAGTATGCGTGAAATCCTATTCATCATCCTAATATAGAGAGCTGTTTCATGCACCAAACCGAGGTTATGAAGGTCTACTATTAGCGCACGTACTTGCACCCCTGTGTTATGTTTCCCCCGCTGCATATTTATCATCCGTTAAGCCACATTCTTCACACTCAGGACCATACATACCTCTCTAAATGCAAACACAAGGCCTTCCAAAACCAAATCTTCTGTCCTGAAATACACACGCATGACTGCTGACGGAAATACATAGGGTGTTGTCAAGTTCAAAACCAGTCCAGCCGCACTTTATATCAGGAAACTCCAAATGTCACAACTCTGAAGGAAGGAAAAGACAGTCTGTTTACTTCATGTGAGGATAGATAAACTGAGGGCAAACTTAGTAACAGTGAATATATAAACTGTGTGAGGGGATGTGCTGCTATTTTTGCTTCATTGTTGAGAGATAATTGAGAGATTTACTGTGTCATTTGTATTGTCTGGGTGCGGTAGCCCCTCATATATAGTATATGCAAACACTGATAGAAGAACACCAGTGTATTTATGGATGTATACAAGAATAGTCTCCTCACATGGTTTCTGATGAGTTGTCCTAAAAACAAATTCCATTTCTACATTTGTTTCCATTCTGAGATATTTTACAAGTGCAAACCAATGCCCTTTTAGGGTTATCCCTGTCTGCCTGCGCTTTATGGTTTTTCTGTTAATGAGATCATTGCTTGAATTTTGGATTGCCAATTCATCTCCAAAAAAAGTGCAAAGAAGTCAATTTGCTTCTGATCTTAAGTGTAGATTTTTCTAGGATTGAAATGAAATGTCGGTAAAATGTTTTACCAGATAAAGGTGAAATTTTTCTATATTCTATTTACAATAGACATTTAAATAATAATAACTGATTACTGAAAAAAAGATATTTTGGACAGACAGATAGATGGATGGATAGATAGATATAAATAAAGAAAAAAGATAAATCGTTTGGATGGATGGTTGAATAGGAATAAATAAAAATATTTAAGACAGAGAGACAGAAACAGGTATGGCTACGGAGAACGCGTGTTTATGCATGTGCAATACTGCAATTTGTCAACCGCAGTCACGCGATTTACTGCAGCTCTAAAGGCTGCCTTTTTCTGCGTTTTACGCAATAGCTACCAGGTGGCGCAAGGAACAACCGCTTTTCCATTGACTTAGTTGTCATGCGTATTTAGATGCGAGCATTTGTGTGCTAGAGCGCTCGGTTCAGCTGGGTTTCTTTATTTATAGATTTACTTTGGAGATGAT